TCATCGTCACCTCCCGGTCCTCAAAAACGTTCCGAACGTGACGAACGCACCAAATAATTTGGGTGCTAGGCAAGACCGCCCGCGTTCCCCTTTGTTTACACACCGAAGGTAACGTCTGCACAGCTGTGCCCTTAAAATTGTTTTGCAAACTCGGCAGGCTGGCAAGGAGGTGACTGCCGCGCGTGCGAGCTATGTCTATATAAAATTAAAATCAGGGTATGAACCCTGATGTCACGATGTGAAAATTCACATCAGATTGTGAATGTGTGTCACATCAAATATGATGGGAATTTTCAAATTATTTTTCACAGTGCAGTTTTCATTTGGTTGAAAACGGGTGATTCAGAGAAGACACAGGAGCGAGCGGGTTCGACCCTCGCTCTTCCCGTAAGGCGCCATTAGGTAGGCAAACCCGAGCGCAGCTGCGTATTCTTTGAATCGCCCGGTACACTCGGCGGTGCTCTGCTGGACGACTCACGAGCACGACGAAGGACGAGGGAGGACGTGTTACTCCGCGAATGCTGTAGAAGCCCCGTAAATGACGTCATTATTGTCCTCGGATTTTACTTCGATAGCCAATAATGTAAAGGGAGCTGTATTTCATGAGTGGCCGAAGGAGATAGTGGTCGTGCTGGTTACGGCCAACACAACAACAACCACCGCCACAACCACCACGACCGTACCTCCTCCCCCTCCTCACCACAGTAAAAAGGGGGGCAACCCCCTGTCCTCTGCTCTGAGCGAGCACGGCGGCAGCTATAGACCGTTTATTTTCATTCCCGGAGCAGCGCGGCGCCAAAACTGTCTCGTCGCGAGGATGCCCGCCCGCTGACCTGTTTACAATCTGTAATTCCTTTTGCACCTGCGTGCGGCAGTAAACCTCTCATGGCGCCCCCCTCATGGTGGCCCTCTTTATTAGAGAGCACTCCCTCTTCTTTCCCCCGCGCAAACCCCGCCTCCCTCCCATACCTCCTCGTTGTCGCAGTCCTTGTCGCGCGCGCATCCCCAACCCCACACATTTACACACACACACACACATTTACACACACAAACACATTTGCACACACACGTGCATCGATCTGCGTGGTGGGGCGGGCGCGGGCTGCTACGTGAGTGATGAGCGCGACACTTTAGGGCACCTGCCGCCCCCGCGCCACCCCTCGTGCCCCTGCCCCTTCGCCCTCCCTCGCCTGCCTCCTAAGGACGCGGTGCCGCCGTGCCCTCCGCCCCCTCCTCACCTGACGCATTAAAAACACCTTCCCACATGAGGAGAGCGCCTAGCGAGCGAGGCGCGCACGATGAAGTGAAGCGTGCATGAAAGAGCGCTTGTGTTGTGTGTGTGTGTATGTGTGTGTTTGTGTGTTGAGTCTGCTCCGTTTCGAAATAAAAGTAAAAGTCAAAATAATGGAGCACCTGTGCAAGGTGCAGGGGTCCGTAACTTAACATTTAAGCTAAACGTTATGATCAATATCTCGCGTTATTGACTAGTTAAAAGCGTTATGCATATAAACAAATTGCAGAAATATGCAGGGGAATAAGTCATAAGATCGATAACGCCAATAACGCAAGCCGTCTACGAGCCTAACCTAACCCAAAAGTCGCTTATGCGTTAAGTTATGGACCCCTGGCAAGGTGTTGGTGCGAATGTTTGGAGACGAGGGAGGCGACGCGGCGCCGGCAGCCTACCCTCCGGGGGGAGCTGCGACTGTGACGCGCTGACGGCGCACGTCGCGAAAGTCACGCGAGCCAACGCGACCTCAAAGCAAGCAGGCTGAGCAAACTGGAGGAGAGGGAGGGAGAGAGAGGCGTGCGCCCGACCAAGGGCGGGACGGGGCGGGGCGGGGCGCCCCACCCACACACTACAATAACAAGCCAGTCACGTGTGCGGCGGGGCGAGGCGCAGCCATAAGCGAAGCGAAGTGGAGGTTCACACGTGGATGTCAGCGCGCCATCGCAGTGGGGGAGCGGGCAGGAGCGGGCAGGAGCGGGCATGAGCGGGCAGGAGCGGGCAGGAGCGGGCAGGAGCGGGCAGGAGCGGGCAGGAGCGGGCGGGAGCGGGCGGGAGCGGGCAGGAGCGGGCGAGAGCGGGGAAGCACGGCACCGCCGGGCTGACTCACGGCCAGGCGTACCAATCTGCGTCAGCTCAGTCAGTCCACTGCCGCCAACGCGGCGACCCTGCCCGCACCACTGGACCCGCTGCTGCCTGCTGCCCGGCTTCAAAGTGGAGATCCGGGGCTTCCGAGCGCACGTCATCCGCGTCCGCGGGGAGGCCGCGGGGAGGACGCCGCCGAGCACCAGCGAGGACCGGACCGTGACCGCCGCCGTCACCGCCAACTCCAAAGCGTGACCTCCGCGCCGCCGCCGCCGGGCCGCAATCATTCCATTCATTTCTGAACGATTTACGATCCCTTGAGGACGCACTCATGGCGGCCGCGGGCGCGGGGGAGGAGTGGGGGAGCGGCTGATTCGTGGCGCGCGGGGCGGGCCCTTGTGCTTTTATCTGGGCACGTCATCGCGGGCCGGCAGGTGTGGCGCGGAGCGGCTCGAGCGTCCCCGCTGCTCATGCTCAGACACACACAGTGTAGTGCGACACACTCGGCGAGCGACACGCAGCGGCCCGCCACCAGCGACACCAGGTAAGGCGCGACGGGGCCGCACCTGGCCGCACCTCAAGTTCACGGCGAGGGACGCCCACGGCCACGGTCAGGGCCGCGCGGCGCCGAGCTCCTGCTCCTCGGCACTGTCCGCGGCGCGCTGCATCTCTTGTCCCGCCGGTCCGCGACGTGTCGTTAAGTTGAAGAGCGCTAGGCACCGCTAGTGATGGATGTTAAATCTGCTGGAAGCGCCGCCGCCGCGCGTCCTCCGCCGCAGTTCTGCATTCTCACCGCGGCCCGGAGCAGCGCCCCCCCGCGCTCCGCTTCGCTTCCCATGTCGCCTGTCGCGTCCACCGCGATGCTGCCAACCTTGACGGCCCCGCGGAGGAGGCAGGACGCGTGCGGTTGGCAATGCCGGCACGGTCACCATGACCCACTGCAACACGTCTGAGCGGAGCGGCGGCGGTCGCGTGGGCGGGGCTGCTGCCCGGGCTCCGTGCGGACCAGACACTGGCCTGGGAGAGGGAGAGAGGGGGGGGGGCACCTTCGCGTTACACGAGCAACCGCGGAGGAGGGAAACGTCTCGTCTCTCCTGTCAATCGCGGACCAGGTCCAGTCCAGCTGCTCTGCCTCCGCGTGTATTTTCTTTCCTCGGTCGGTCTCGTCTCACCCGTGTCGTCTTACAGACGTCGCCATCCATCATGACGTGGTCACCGCTCCTGCTCGTCGCCGCCCTGGCGTGCGCCGGCCAGGTCGCCGCCTCCACCCAGGACTACTGCATGGCCAGGGATGCCAACCCGTTCGCCAACTTCGGGACGCGCACGCCCTACGAGGCCTCCGGCGCCAACCTGGACACCACCCCCGTCAAGCTGGAAGGTGAGGAAACCGTCCGGGGAGCACACCAGTGATAAATCCCCCCCCCCAACCCCCCAACCCCGGACCCGGACCCCAGGTCCCCACCCTGGGGGTCGCCCGCCTCCGCCGCCTTTGCACCAGCTTGGCGCCTTGCAGACTGCTGCACCGCGTATTTTGCGAAAGTTTTGAATAAACTTGGTAGTGTTTGAAATTGCACGGAGCTGAGCACCACCTCTCCCCCCCGCACACCTTTCTCTCCTTTTAACGTCGCGAGCGCGCGCGGCGCCCGCGAGTTCCCTTTATGCTCGTAGTACACACTTCTCTTGTTATGCGGCAAACAAGTAATAAATTTTCTATCCTCACAAAAGCTTTGCATCCGTGTCAGCGGCGTGGCGTAGCGGGGCGCTGCTCTGGGGGTGTCTGTCCCCGGCGCCCACGCGACGTAAAGTTTTGTTTCATAACCGTAAGTGGCTCCGGGGGAGCTCCCTGCCTCTGCTCATCTCTGCCACAGCGCCCCGCTGCGCCCGCGCCCGCTCCACCCCACCCCGCCCCTTCCCGTCTTACCGGAGTGATGAATATTGAATCAGCATTGAGTTTGCAGGCTGCAAGGCGGTCCAGCTGTGGCTCCTGGGCCGACACGGCACGCGCCATGGCAAGGACGCGGACATCGAACTCATCCTCAAGCTGACCAAGATCAAGGCGCAGATGGTGGAGCACAAGTCCTCGGGACGTAAGTATCCGCCTCACCCCAGCCCGACCTCACCGCGGTCGCTGACTCGAAACACTCCATGACAACGACAAGCTTGCTCTCGATTGCAGGTAGCGTCGGGCTGTGCGACACGGACCAGGAAAACATCCTGAACTGGTACCCGAACGTGGACCGATCCATGTCGTACCAGCTGACGCCGCAGGGCCAGCAGGACCTCCTCAAGATGGGCGCGCGATACCGCGAGCGCTTCCCCGACCTCTTCAAGGATCCCAACCCCGCCAGCTTCCACTTTAAATACGACGAGACCGATCGCTGCGTCGAGAGCTCCCAGTGGTTCTACAAGGGCATCTTTGGCGAGTTCCCCGCCCAGAGCGAGGGCACCGTGGACGGCCTCCCCGACGTGAGTGCAGTCTCGCGGTGCACGTGGAATGGCGGCCTGAGGGAAACGCAAGATTTAAACTGTAACTCGTCTATGGCATTTTCCTTTTAGTTTTACAACAGGTGCCCGGCTTACCTCGGGCCGATCGCCTCCGACTTCGTTATGGGCGACTTCAACAAGTTCAAGAAGAACAACGAATGGTCCGACATGGTGAAGAGGGTCAGCATCAGGCTCGGCTTCTACAACAACCTGGACGTCGGTGAGTATGATGTGGCCCCCGGAAGTCGGTAGCCGCCAACGCGCAGATATTGTGGTGTGCAGAGTAAGCAGGGCGGTTCGTTTGCAGACGACATCGAGGCCATGTACACCGCGTGCAGCTTCGAGCGTGCTCGCAACTGGGAGTACGGCAAGACCTCCCCGTGGTGCGCCGCCTTCCGTCCGGAGGACTTTGAGGTGAGCATCCCAGTCCGAGTACACCCTGAAGGAACAATCCTCGCTATAACCATAACCATCCAACACTCAGCTAAACAGTATTTTGAGTGTAATCGGGTCTCAATGCCTGAGTGTTGTTCGGTGGGAGGAAACAGGATACTAAAGGTTGAGTTGCTCTGCCAGGCCAGGCGTGATGGACCACGTGACAAACTTGGTGCCCCTCACCCGCCTGGGTCTCTTTGTGCTTACTTGTTTGTTTCTAACTGGGCTTCCCTTGAACGTCCGCAGGTGCTGGAGTACTGGTTCGACATGAAGGAGTACTACCGCACCGGCTACGGCCACAAGATCCACGAGAAGCTGGGCTGCGTCCCCATCAAGGACCTGGTCAAGTCGTTCGAGGCGCGCGTCGGTGCCACGGCCCCCGCGCCGCCGTCCGGGCTCATCTACCACTCGCACGACACGCTGCTCAACCAGGTGGTGGCTTTCTTCGGCCTGTACCGCGACCAGGAGAAGATGCGCGAGGACAACTTCGCGCGCCTCCGGGACCGCAAGTGGAGGGTCAGCAAGTTCAGCCCGTTCGCGTCCAACATCGCCGCCGTGCTACACGAGTGAGTGCCCGCCGCTGCCCATCTAGAGATTTTAATTTTCCGGAAAAGTTTAAGTTTTCCCGTAAAAAAAAACTTTTTCCGGAAAATTTTCCGTGAAAATTCGGAGAAACGCCCAAAATAAGAGGCTGTTTTCAGTTCGTTTCGTTTTTCCGCAACTCTTCCTGGTTTTTTTTCCGGCATTCAAATCCCTATGCTCATCGGGGTGATGTCGACGTCGCCGTGATGATGTAACAAACACAATTCCATTCTCCTTCATTCTTCCTCCAGGTGTTCGAGCGGCGACAGGTACCGCGTCCAGATGTTCCTGAACGAGAAGCTCCTCCCCCTGCAGGACTGGGGCTGCGACAAGGACTCGTGCACCTGGACGCAGTTCATGTCCAAGTTCGGGCACGTGCTCACCAACTGCAAGCAGCGCCGCCTCTGCTGGGGCCTGTGAACAAAAATGGGTGTCTGTTCCATTCCTGGACCGCCAAAGAGCTAGAAACGTCTGTCTGTCACAACAAGAACGACGCGGTACCGGTACACCATACAACAAGAGAAAAACTTCTGCATCAATTTTGGGCCCTGCTCATATTGTGTGACAACGTGCAAAATATCTGACGTCAAAAGAAAAGTTACTTTCAAACTGTTAACAAATTTTATTAATTTGAACCCACCGTGACTCTTTCGTGCTAATTCTTGGTCTGGCCCCCATACCACCACCACCACCGCAGCCTGCGCCGCGCACATCAGTACCGCCCAGGAGCAATAATAAATTAGCAAAGAAAAGGGGGGAGGGGGCTGCTCCCCGCTCCGCTGTGGGGCGTATCAGTGCAGGGCGCGGCTTATCACGGACAAGAATTAAGACGAATGCCGCCGGCAGGTATTTTGGAGG